AATATGACACAGAGGAAGAGCACAGAGTCAAATTTTATATGCTAATTTCCGTCTTTAATGTTCAAAGACATGATGGCCGGGGCGCTCTGCAAAGCAAAAGCGTCTCCTCCTGCGTTTGCACACCTTTCTGCCTTCCTGCCCTCTGCGCGACCTCCTCACCTCGCCCTGTGCATCTTCTGGGAGAGACGAGACTCGGTATTTGCTGAGTATCTGGCATCTGCAGGTGCACGAGGCCAAGCTTACCCATTTGATCTGTATGCCACCAAGAAACCCAGTCATGGGAGGGGGCACAGTGCCAGGCTCACTGTCAGCCCTCATCAGCACATCCTCCAAGTGCCACACCTTTTTAATGACACTCTGAATGCTCATCATTGTCACGGCTGCCGAGCAGAATGTGAAGCAAGTATGCTAGAGGAACAAAAATCAGAAGGGCAGCTCTGAAACCCTTGGAGAAACTTGTCTGGGAACACAGTCATTTTTTATGGGTTAGGTCCAATCGAAATGGTACCCCAAGGTCTTACTCACTCAAGTCCATCCCTGCTTTCCACCTCCAGCGTTTTAAAGCCCAGCCACCTCTCTGATAACAAACCCAAGCGATATCGAGCCACCGTTCTTGCATGGAACAGGACACTGGGGCTCCAGGGCACTTAGCCTCTTGCTCTAACTGCTGAAACGTTCGCCTTTCGGATTCCACGGAGGCTTTTCATCCTGCTGTTACGCCCTGTCTTCTGCTGACAGCCCCTCACTGCCCCTCCTTCCGGGGGGTCCCCTGACAGCCTAAGGACCGGAAGCCCAAGGTTTACGCTCCACAGGGCTCTGCCCGCGAAGTTCAGCCTAAGAGCCACTGAAGATTTGGGGTACATGTCTTTGGGATACCACATTAATGATGCTGTCACATCATCACGTCCTACTGTGTGGTACATGATATTTATTTGTCAAATTACAGATGACAATATTGATCACTTGAGCAAGATCAATGTTGCCTGCTAGGTGTCTCCACTATAAAATTCCTTTTTTTTCTTGTGGAAATATTCGGAGACTATGTAAATACAAGGTTCCCTATCGCACCTTCATCTACTATGCGTATCATCCATTGATGTCTCTTGCTGAATAATGTTTGCAGAATGGTAGTTTTTTATTTTCATTTTCCTATGTTTATTCATTGTATTTTAAGTAAAGGCTTTACCTTCTCTCTTGTTATATTTGTGTGGAATAATAGATTCATAGTTCATTCAATGGGTTATAATCTCTTGTTATCTTTTAAAAAATCAAAAAGCATGGGATTTGGATGAAACTAACTGGGATTACTGGGCATCCTGTATTTCTGCAACTTCCTGACTCCATGAAAACAAGCTGAAAAACCAAGAGCCAGCACCAGTCCTCTCTGACCTTTGTTTGCCCAGCACCTCCAAATGTTTTGTAAGCATCTAAATCCTTCTATTAATTCCCTTCCTGTTTGCACGCTGAGAATAGTTTCTGTTTTTCTCACCAAACCTTCACTAAGACAACCTTTCACTCCTGTCCTTGAGTGGCCATTCTATATTATACATCATTATCTATAAAAGAAACTGCATTTACAAATATTTCTTTATTTGTCCAGCTTCTCCTTTATAAATTATTTCATGGCAGAGGTCACAACATAAATTTTGTTATCACTATTCCTAGCATATAATAGACGCCTGATAACTAGCAGTTGACTAAATGGACCACGTTCATACTACTTAGGAAATGAATATTTCTGTACTATCAATAAATAGCATTAATCTATTTTCAGGATTGGTTCCTTTCAAGAAATGCACAGGCAGAAAGGGATCACTGAGCTAAGCGTGGTCCTAAGCCCTGAGACTCCACTGTCTAAAGAGACGGAGGCACGGGGTGGGGTAGGAGGAAAAGTCGAGGACACTTCTCCTGTCGGGAAGCTACTGGCCACAGCCACCCTAGGGCAAGGGAGCGGCTTCTGCTGCTGCTCCTCAGAACTTGGCTGTAAGTAGATTAAGGGATCCCAATGGCTTGTTGAATGTCCTTTTATGTATCCACAGCTCAGCTCCCATCCAACAGCCATTATTTCTTTCTCTCCTAACTGCACTTCTTTTTTTCCAGATGTTTCATGACTCTTCCTGACCCATATCTGAAGTCAATGGTTTAAACTCTATTTAAGGATAATAATCAGATATATCCAATTATGTATTTTTTACCTGCATATCCTTACTTTTTTTTCCCTTTGCTATCCTGCCAGACCATACCCCAGATAGAGAGACAATTCTGTACTCACATCCCCAGAGAAGGAATACAACAAGAAGACAGTCTCTGACCATCATGGACTCTGCTAAAAGGTCAGAGGAAAGAGGCCACGGGCAGCAGAGAGGTCGCAGCACTGGGGCACATCTGGGTGGGAGGGGCCACTGAAGCCTCACACGTCTGTGTGCCCACAGTGGAGGACTGGGGCCCAAAAAGCCACTCTCATCAGGAGCTCATCATCTCACAGTCGCCTGTGTAGATCCATCCCTTGGTGAGCAGAGGAACTCTCCCCCCAAAAGCTGGGTAGATAGTCTGCTAGATTCCAGATCCTTAGCACATTCTGAAACAATTAAATTTCATTTCCCTACACACTCATGGAATGAGCATTTGAACCAGAAATAAAATCAACTTATAGCAATAAAAATGTTATAGTTAATATACCCTGAATTTGTGCATTGAGATTTTCACACCTGCTACAAAAGCAAGAACTCAGGGTGATACTCAAAGAGATGCCCTGTACATCTGGGAACTACAGGATATGGGGCTTTGCAATTTTTCACTCATCTGGAAACACAGACTGACTTAATCTTGGACTGGTTGTGATTTAGTCAGCATGAGAAGGAAATAGCCAGTAGGTGTACCAACACGGGGTCTCTTGGTTTAACTGGAAAAAACAGCAGCACAAGTCCAAATGAATCACATGGGAAAAGTAATCAAGTAAAACTTTGGCAATCCACTAGTCAATGAACTTCCACATTCAAAACACGAAGGCTACTTATGAACGTGATACCTGTCACTCAAACAGCGCTTGTTGTAGGCTGAGCCCTGTTCTAAATGATCATGACCACATGCCTAGGAAATAGGTTAATTATTCGTCCCATTTTACAAACAAGGACACTGAGATACATACGGATTACAGGACTCAGCCAAGGCCATGATGATTGTGAGACGCAGCTGTAAGACTTGAACCCACCACTCAAGCTCAGAAGCCAGGTGGACCCCCACACAGTGCTGTCTTGTCCACAGAAGTCAGCTATTTTGAACATTATAAACCCAAGGAAGAGATCATCAGGTCCACTCCCTTTATTTTAAAGATGAGGAAACAGCAGCACAGAGGACACAGAGACCTGCTCACTGTCTCATAACTCAATGTATCACTCATCTTCATTTAATGACAAAGAACACTCACTGCCAATCAAATCAGTCATTTCACTTTCCATGGTTCCCAAAGGGCAAATCACAAGTTTAAAACCAAGTCTTTGGCAACCTTGCAGGAACTGTACGTCGGCTTCTCCAGAGCTGAGTGACAGGAGGCCAAGTGGTCTCAGAGGCCTGGTAAAGCACCTGATGTATCGGCTTCAGTGTCTGGGAAGAAGATGGTGCCAAGAAGCCACTTAACAGTGGAGCAGGCAGGCCGTTCAGAGAGGGGAGCCCAGGATTTTAGTGTGGTCGCTCAACAACCAATAAATCTGATTCTGAGCAAGGCTTTCCTCTACTTTTATTGAAATACCTAGAATTAGAAACCTTTACTTTGGAAATATGATCTTTATGCTGCTCTATTTATGTCTCATCCATTTCAAAACAAGACTCCTATGGAAAATCCTTCATGTTCCCCAAAGCAAAGCAACCACTGTGATTCTCCAATGTCCTTCAGTAAAGGCGAGCACAGAACCACACCCTCTCCTTGGCAGGTCCAAAATCCTGTGGTGAAGCATAATTAAAGCAAAAAAGACCCACTTCTGTCTCCTCGAGGAGAATGACCTAATTGTAGACAGACTGCTTTTTTCTTTTTCATCCATCATGGAGGTCAGATGTTGCAACAAGAAGCCTGTATTATTTAGCTCACTGGGCCTTCAGAGACCTTACATCTTAATCCCCTTGGCCTTGGTTGTGTTGACAAGTTCTGTCATTGATAAACTCAGACCTGCATTATAACAATTGTTGAAAGATGAATCAGATATTAGAAAACAATGTCACTTACTGGCTTCTAACCTTTTCAACCCTTATTTCTATTTTTATCTGAAGAATATTCTCAGTGCTTGTACAAAAAAAAAAAAAAGGATGATGATGCATATGAGGAATCTGTCAACTTTTAAAGACAGGAACAAGAGTGAAAACAGAGGCAAGTAAGTACTGTGCTGGTGTGGAGAAAGCTGTTGACAAAGCTCCCAAAACATGGTCACTTAAGAAAGACTTAAGTTGAGGAACTGTGTCTGGGAAGAAAGAAAAAAAAATTATTTCTACCATAAGAACCCTAATTGCTTTTAACTTTAGAGGGAGAAGGTGCTTTTTGCATAGAATGTATCTCTGGTGTGATGATCAGGGTCCTCTTTCTTAAATTAGAAAAGAAGTAACAGATTTTAAAATTAAAGGAGAAGGCCCAGAGAGAAGAAACATACATTTAAGGTTTTAGACATCAACATGAATCCGAATGCTCTCTAACACATTCATTACCTTTCAGTTAAACTGAACTTGGCATAGAAAAGAAACTAATAAAGTGGCTAGTGTTGCCCAGAAAGACACTAAAAGGGAGGCACAGATTCATGACCAACCCCATCAGATGCTATCTCTGTTCCTCTTTCCGGAAGGAGGCTGGCTCCGGGGACCTCACACAACCAGGCAGACAACTAACCTTGTCATCCTTTCGGCCAAGCTACGGAGTAAAGCGCAGAGTAGAAGGGAGGCCGTGGCCAGCTCACCCCTGGCCCTGAACGCTTTCCAGTGCCCACCACCCTGGCCCAGGCAGACGGCGCAGGACTTACCGCATTAAAATTGGGGAAGAGGTTCACTGCGGCCGCTGTGTCAAGAGGAAATGGAAGAAACGGTTTAATGTCCAGCGACGGTTGCAAAGGTGGGGCTGGCGGCCGGACCAGGGCTGGGAGAGCGGGGCTCTGGCATGTGCCACCTGCACAGAGGAGAAGAGAGGGCAAGATCAGGGACCTAAAGCACAGGAACTCACAGCACACAGTCACCCAGGCCTCTCTGAGACCAAAATGCCAGCTTTCCGGGTCACTGGAGAAAGCAAGACAGGGAGCGAACCGACCCCGAAGCCGGCCACCCAGCAGACGCCCCGGTGAGCAGAGGGAGCACCATCACTGCTCCTGTCCCTCTTGGATCAGGACTATCTGCCTACGTAAGTAACTGTTAACATTTCAAACGTTTCATAGCCCACAGTCCATTCTGCTTTTTCTGCCTTGAGCTCTGGATTGAGTAACCAGCAAACCTGTAACTAAGATCCCTTGATTCAAAGGGAAAACCCTTCCGATGCTCTCCCGACCCTCTTTGAAAACGAACTTTGGCTCAAAATATGCATCCAGTCTGAGTGATTCTTTTAGAGAACTGCTCTTTTCCACCATGTCCCAGACTCTGGCAGCAAGATGACATGAAGCTGGCACGGGAAAGAAACTAACCACAAACACGGGCAGCCGTACCTGACAGGCCTGGCGACCGGAGGCTTAAAACCAGCAAATCCAGCTACAAATCACCGGATCCCTGAGCTACTCAGCACCCCCGCGGCTTTAAAGATTCAAGACTACCTGCCCCCTTCCTTCCCAGTCACGAGTAGGTGGAATATAGAAGGTCATCAATGAGAAGGCAATGGAATGTTATGGCAACACAGACACCTCCTTCGCACACCAGTGGGCCAAGGCTGTTCGCAGGAGACACACACCTTTGCCCCCTGTTCTAGGATTTCACTGCATTTGGAAGCTGAAAGGAGCCCACCTCCCTGTTCTGTCTCTCATACTCTGGTAACGTTCCAAAACATCAATTTGTCATTAATTAAAGGCTGTTTGAATCCTAGGAAACTGTTAAAATATGCCAGCATTCTTCTAATCTGAGAGGCAAGCAACAGACTGTAAAAACCTACTGGTGAGAATCCAAAGAAGCATTAGGAAAACAAAACGCGCTGGGATTTTTCCTTTTTCTCTTGGAAAAGAATTCTAGCAGACAGAAAAGAGAAGAAAGGCTCCTGTTTGTGCCACTTCCTTACCTGCCATCTTGCTTTTAAAACAACCTAGAATGAGATCCCACCCAAATTATATTTACAGATCTTACCAGGTCAGCTGCACACAGACCAGCCTCTTGCCCCCCGTCAGCTACCTGAACAAAGGTGAACATTTAAAAAATGATTCCGCCGTGCCAGATCAACCCTATTGGACCAGAGGATCTCCCAACAAGGTGGGTGACTTAACATCCACAGCAGAAGCCATCAGTGCAGGATTTAATTAACCATACCAAAAAAACCACTAGCTCTCCTGGCTACAGGTGTAAAATCAGCCGGAGTCAAATCAACAAAGCCAGTATTCGTCCCACTCTTTCTTACTTCCCTCTTGAAACGTTCTTCAACAACAAGGCCAACAACATCCAGTTTGAAACAACAAACCAATTAAAGTGAAAAATAGTAAGGAGTCAGGAAATAGAGGGCTGATGTTAAAACAGACGGAGATAAAAGCAAAATAAAACAAGTTACACTCACCAGAGCATACTATAAACTTACTTTATTATCCGCCTGGTGGTATAGAAAGGGCATTCGTAAAACTCTGGTGATAGGCCTGTCATGAGTTTAGTATTGCTACCAATTTCTCTTTTGATGAAAAGTTAAAGAAACAAAATAAAATTTTGGTTGGTGCCTCTTTAGACAACTCAGAAGTAAAATAAGTTTGGGTTGAAATCTGAGGTGCAGTTTAACATGTCCATAAATAATAGTGAGCTTTAAACATATCATTTTAAATTACTATTATCTGTGTCAGAGTCATGCTTTGCAAAAGGTATTCATTCATGTACACCCATTACCTTGTTTGACCCTAAAATCTCAGAAATCAGGTAACGGAGAGCATAATATCATGGAGAGAAAGAATAAGTTGATCAGCTCTTTAGCTGTTTATGCTGCTTCCACAGAAACATTTCATTCTTCTAATTAAAAGAATGCAATTTAGCAGGAACATATTCTGGAATTGTTTCATTTACAAGTTCCCCTTTGGTTCAGGAGAACCAAAGAAATTCTGGAAAAACTCAGGCTTCTTTTTTTATCCACCATGCTGAGAGGAACAAAGAATAAATGTACACTGATTCTACTGCCAGGGTAAGTTAATCCTTCTAGACATTTACCTCTATTCCTCTGAGATGTGGGTTTCATCTGAATTTTATTATACATACAGTTCAGGGCCCTCTCTTAAGGTTGCAACTGGGGCTTCCTACATAGGGGATAAGGAGACACCAAGGAAGAGACATGGCATTGGAGGGGAGCTGCAGACGCTGTGTGAGTTCAGCCCTTTCTACCTGGTTGAGGAGAGAAAAGCGAAAGATCACTGGAAACCAGAGGACATGGTGTGACCATACATTCTTTGGCCACTTGCCATGAAAACCCAGGTGGGCTGGACAACAGAGGATGAGATGGTTGGATGGCATCACCAACTCAATGGACATGGGTTTGGGTGACAGGGCCCTCTCTTAAGGTTGCAACTGGGGCTTCCTACATAGGGGATAAGGAGACACCAAGGAAGAGACATGGCATTGGAGGGGGGCTGCAGACGCTGTGTGAGTTCAGCCCTTTCTACCTGGTTGAGGAGGGAAAAGTGAAAGATCACTGGAAACCAGAGGACATGGTGTGACCATACATTCTTTGGCCACTTGCCATGAAAACCCAGGTGGGCTGAACAACAGAGGATGAGATGGTTGGATGGCATCACCAACTCAATGGACATGGGTTTGGGTGGAATCCGGGAGTTGGTGATGGACAGGGAGGCCTGGCGTGCTGCGGTTCATGGGGTCACAAAGAGTCGGAAATGACTGAGCAACTGAACTGACTGACTGAACTGACTATAGTATTAATATTGAGGCCCCAGATTAGGACTGTCTGTTAAAAATTATCTATGACTAACATTTCTCCGAGTTGACTCATTAGAAAAGACCCTGATGCTGGGACAGATTGGGAGCAGGAGGAGAAGGGGACGACAGAAAATAAGATGGCTGGATGGCATTGCCGACTCAGTGGGCATGAGTTTGAGTAAACTCCAGGAGTTGGTGATGGACAGGGAGGCCTGGCGTGCTGCAGTCCATGGGGTCGCAAAGAGTCGGACATGACTGAGCAACTGAACTGAACTGAACTGAACATTTCTGCTTTTAAAATTAGGATACACTCTGACAATATTTTGCTTGTTCCCATCTGTATATGCTCAGCAGTAAGAATACTATTGGAAAATAGTATGAAGTTAAAACCGGCAAACTTAACATGTTTCCTGTAAAGCAGACTAAAATGTACTCCTTGAGAAAACAGCTTTTTCACTCTTTCATTTTTTTAAAAAGAATTTATTACATTTAGGGCATGAATGTATGTTTACTATTATTTTCTTTACTTTAAAATTATCTTGATGATAATAAACATCAAGATATATATTGAATGGGTAGACAGGACTGTAGGTAACGAAGAGTTATTGTGTCGTTACCATTTACCCCAGTGTTGCTTCTTTCATCAGAATTTAACTTCTGGAAATGCTGATGCTCTTATTTTGAGAAAAACATCTGAAGCCTCCATGGGTTGGGAACAGAAAAAGTACAAATGCACACCCTTTGTATGGAAAACTCTATGCTGCTACTTCTAGTACCACGTATTTCATACACTATGCAATTTTAACTTACATAGCTTTTAAAAATTAAGCCTTAACAGAATATTCAGATTTTAGAACAGTTAATATCTCTCTATTCCAAATTTCTTTACATTTCATTATATTCAATAAACTAAAAAACATTCATTAAATAGAGATCAATTATTAGACCTATACTGAGTAAGGTATTGAATAATGAAGGTAAATAAATATGATGAAGCAAGTGATCTAAGCTCATAAAACTCTTCTCTGTCCCTTCTTGAGGTTTGGTTCTGCTAGCCTAGATTCATATTTAGAATTCAGAATTGAATTATAGAGCAAAGGTATACTACAGAGCATACTTTGGTCTATTCATAAGACAGCTACCTCTGTATTCACAAAAGTGCAAATCTGTGAATTTAAAAAAATACTGGAATAACCTGTTTCTTTATAGAATATTGGTTAATAGAGATTATCTGAGAAAATAAGACATTATACACTTCAAAATTAGCATTTTTGAAAACCTAATTAAAATGCCAATTTGGAAATATTTGTTTTAATAATTTACACAGACAAATAGGAATTCTAAACCGCTGGCTGTCAGCTGAAGCATCATATTAGAGAAAATGTAGGTAAAGAGCCTAGCAGAGAGACTGACCAGGTGGTGCTAAGTGAGGCGGGTTTTTTTTAATGAACCCAATAAATTCCAAAGGAATGTTCAGGTTCGTGCAGACACATATCTGGGCTCCCTGGAAGAGGTCAATCAAGACAACCCTAAAGGCACATGCCTATTCTTCACTTGGTTGATTCTGACCCCTGCAGAAGGAGAGACTTCACAGTAAGAGCTTACCTTGTAAATCAACATTTTGAAAGATTCCTTGAGTGTAAAATAGTGTTCTTTCCATAATATAACACTTCTAACCTTGAACTTCTGCACTTGGTCTATTCATGGTTCATAAAACAGTCAGACGTCCTGTCTCATAGCTTAACCTACTACTTAATCACTCATTTCCCCAAATGGCAAAACCAAAGTTAAAAATGACCAGGGGTTGCTGCTGTTGAATATTCATGGCTGTGCATGCTGTAGAACTGTGAATCATTGAAAAACAATATATTATGTATATTGTTAAAATACATTATTATCATATATATATATACACACATATATAATATCTATATTTATAGAAAGCAGAAGAAATCCCTGATTTCTTGATGGGAGAAATAATTTCTGTCATATCTTTTTCTTTCAGTATAAATTTGATTATATATGTATATGTATATACGCTTGTGTGCTATGCTAAGTTGTGCTAAATTGTGCTAA